ATATTTATATGTAAATTATTTTGCGATATATTAAATAATAATAATGAGTTAAATTTAGCATTTAGCTTTTTCTCTGGTGACACCACTTTTGTGACGACCCCAATATGGCAACTCCACTATGACGACCGTAGTATGGCAACTCCATTGTGACGACCCCTGCATGGCAACTCTATTGTGACGACCCTTGTATTGCAACTCCACTGTGACGACCCCTGTATGGCCACTCCATTGTGACGACCCCTGTATGGGCACTCCATTGTGACGACCCCTGTATGGCAACTCCACTGTGACGACCCCTGCATTGCAACTCCACTGTGACGACCCCCTGTATGGCAACTCCACTGTGACGACCCCTGTATGGCAACTCCATTGTGACGACCCATGTATGGCAACTCCACTCTGACGACCACTGTATGGCAACTCCACTGTAACGACTCCTCGATGGCAACTTTACTGTGACGACTCTTGTATGTCAGCACTGTGACGACCCCCTGTATGACAACTCCATAGTGACGACCCCTGTATGGCAACTCCATTGTGACGACCCCTGTGGGATATTTGGGCTTGATTCTGATTAATTAATAATTAAAGTAGTAAATTAAATTACGAAGGACCACCCGTTTTTAAAGTAAAGAGGGAAACTGAGAATTTCAGATCATTAGATAAAATTCTAGAGAAAACCAGTGACTATGGATATAACTAGAAAGTATGATCATAAGAATAATTAATGGGCTGTATTATTAAAGAAACAAACCTCAAACACCTACATTGGGGGGTTATTACTGGAGGTAAGTACGTCCAGGAATCAGTGTGGTTCGTTCACTAATTCAATTAATAATAATCTAATCCTATAAATAATGCTGAATATAATATCATTCACATAAAGAAGAACATGAATATGAGCATAGTAGTGAGTTACAGTAAATCACACATTAATATCAAACATTCTGAATACATCAAATTGCAAGGAAATGGATAAAAAGAAATAAGCCTTAGCTTGTAGCCGATTCCTTTAGATAACCATGGAAGTCCTCTTAATCTCCAAGTCTGGTACACTGACGAATGGTACGGTTAACATGGAGAAGGCAGCATGAGGAATTCGTCTCTCGAGCTGCAAGATAAATAACTACCAGTAGCAATTGATTTAACTACTCAATTCATATTCAAAATTATTAATATCTACAGATGGAATTCTAATCACCTGTTATTAGGTGTTATCCCGCTGCTTGACGAACAATCACCCCGCTATTAATAGATCTGTAAATGATGCATCAAATAAAGGGTACTTAGCTGTGGGCATTGTATAAGTATTAAGATTGCCGTAATTTCGCATCCCAGGCTCCGGTGAACCTATCCTGGATTGTGATGCGTTTCAAGCTGGCTGATCACGTGTCGTCAGGAACCAAGTCTAGAGGTCCCTCATTTAACACCAGCACTAGTTGAAGATATTATCTGCAAGGTCGTTCACGCCTCACAGTGGCGGCTTTCATCTGAGGATGAATAACACCTGCCCGATTTGCTGGGCAATGGCGTCTTTTATGAGTACGGTAAGCACAGTTCTGCCTCCTTTCGGCTCTGCACGTGTCCGCGTACTGAGGGGGATGGCGTCCCTCCAACCCACGCCGAGTCGACGTTCATAACACAAATTATTGTCACGAACATTAATATTTCTCGCATTCGCGCTTGAAACTCTAAAGACTGGACGGGTTTATTATTTAGAGGAACGAAATATTATTATTTACCGATTTAGGAATAGTAAATATATAAGGGAGAGGAATTAATGTCTCCCCATGGCATTCATTGATGACGTTAACTCTATCGCGAGGTAGACGCTATGATTCTAACGCTCTATTCGGTTTTTAGTTAGAGAACAATTCGTCTGCAATCAGTTGTCATACAGAATGCTTTAATTATGGAGAATCGTATTTAATTCTCACACAAATTGAATATAATGTGTTTTACTGTAAGGAAATCTGACGCAATACTGGCGTCAGGTGACGTGAGAATTCTAGCCTAATGCACAGATGAATTATTAGTACATGAGAATTCTACGAGTTGTTAATTTTACTCACTACAATAGTTAGTATCGTTAGTAATAAGTAATGAGAATACAACAATGTTGTATTCGGTGTTGGAAATATCCAACAACCCCTGCATTGCAACTCCACTGTGACGACCCCCTGTTTGGCAACTCCACTGTGACGACCCCTGCATGGCAACTCCATTGTGACGACCCCTGTATAGCAACTCCACTGTGACGACCACTGTATGGCAACTTCACTGTGACGACTCTTGTATGGCAACTCTACTTGGTTCTGTGATGACCCCCTGTATGGCAACTGCACTGTGACAACCCTTCTGTATAGTAACTCCACTGTGACGATCCCTTTATGGCAACTCTACTGTGGCGACCCCTCTATGGCAACTCCACTGTGACGACCCCCTGTTTGGCAACTCCACTGTGACGACCCCTGCATGGCAACTCCATTGTGACGACCCCTGTATAGCAACTCCACTGTGACGACCACTGTATGGCAACTTCACTGTGACGACTCTTGTATGGCAACTCTACTTGGTCCTGTATGACAGGACTGTGACGACCCCCTGTATGGCAACTGCACTGTGACAACCCTTCTGTATAGTAACTCCACTGTGACGATCCCTTTATGGCAACTCTACTGTGGCGACCCCTCTATGGCAACTCCACTGTAACGACCCCTGTATGGCAACTTCACCGTGACGACTCAACTGCGATGACTCCTGTATGACAACTCAACTGCGATGACTCCTGTATGACAACTCCACTGTGACGACCCCTGTATGTCAACTCCACTGTGACGACCCCTGTATGACAACTCCACTGTGACGACCCCTGTATGACAACTCCACTGTGACGACCCCTGTATGTCAACTCCACTGTGACGACCCCTGTATGACAACTTCACTGTGACGACCCCTGCATGACAACTCCACTGTGACGACCCCTGTATGACAACTCCACTGTGACGACCCCTGTATGACAACTCCACTGTGACGACCCCTGTATGACAACTCCACTGTGACGACCCCTGTATGACAACTTCACTGTGACGACCCCTGCATGACAACTCCACTGTGACGACCCCTGTATGACAACTCCACTGTGACGACCCCTGTATGACAACTCCACTGTGACGACCCCTGTATGACAACTCCACTGTGGTTACCCCTGTATGGCAACTCCACTGTGACGACCCCAGTAGAGGATTCTACGCCTAGAACCGGGCACAACACCTGGGCCAGGTGAGCCACCTGTGGCCAGCTGTCCCAGGTTAAGGGGGGGCCGTCTCAAGGAGTGAAAGATGTCCCCGTTCGCTCGGTCCTAGTCTCCCGGGACGTTCTGCATCTCCGTGTGATGAATGAGGGGTGTAAGGTGAGTATGTGAGTATGTGTAGCAGGCGTGTAGCATGTGTGCAGGTGGGTCTTACATGTAAGACCGTGTGGCCTAATGGATAAGGCGTCGGACTTCGGATCCGAAGATTGCAGGTTCGAGTCCTGTCACGGTCGACATATATTATTTTTTCATGAGGAAAGAATGAAAAGAACGCTTGATATCGATGAAATGTGTTCAAAGGACAGGCAGTATTCACCATTCATTATGGGATAAAACAGCTGACAAAATGACAATGGAGAATTCCGCTTTTGTATATGGTAAAAAACGTTTAAATGTAAATTATTTTGCGATATATTAAATAATAATAAGAGTTAAAGTTAGCATTTAGCTTCCTTTCTGATAACACCACTTTCGTCACGACTCCTCTGTGACGACCCCTGTATGGCAACGCCACTGTGACGACTCCTGTATGGCAACTCCACTGTGACGACCCCTGTATGGCAACTCCACTGTGACGACCCCTGTATGGCAACTCCACTGTGACGACTCCTGTATGGCAACTCCTCTGCGACGACCCCTGTATAGCAACTCCACTGTGACGACGCCTGTATGGCAACTCCACTTTGACGACTCCTGTATGGCAACTCCACTCTGACGACTCTTGTATGGTAATGCCTCTGTGACGACCCCTGTATGGCAACTCCACTGTGACGACTCCTGTATGGCAACTCCACTGTGACGACTCCTGTATGGCAACTCCACTGTGACGACCCCTGAATGGCAACTCCACAGTGACGACTCCTGTATGGCAACTCCTCTGTGACGACCCCTGTATGGTAACTCCACTGTGACGACTCCTGTATGGCAACTCCATTGTAACGACTCCTGTATGGCAACTCCACTGTGATTACTCCTGTATGGCAACTCCACAGTGACGACTCCTGTATGGCCATTCCACTGTGAGGACCCCTTTATGGCAACTCCACTGTGACGACCTCTATATGGCAACTCCACTGTGACGACCCCTCTATGGCAACTCCAATGTGACGACTCTTGTGTGGCAACTCCACTGTGACAACCTCTGTATGGCAACTTCACTGTGACGACCCCTGTATGGCAAACTCTACTGTGACAACCCCTGTGTGGCAACTCCACCGTGACGCCCCCTGTATGGCAAATCCACTGTGACGACTTCTGTATGGTAGCTCCACTGTGACGACTCCAGTGAAGCAACACCGAACAATTAAAACATAGTTTTCGCAAGACATTACACAGGAACCCCCCATTATGTTAATGAAGGTTCTAGAGAGAGACACTGAACACTGTGACGAGATCAGTATCATGAGGACATCAACATCATGAGGTGAGAGACAGGTCCACCTGGACATCAACATCATGAGGTGAGAGACAGGTCCACCTGGACATCAATAACATCACGGGACAAGCTTATAACACCAAATTATCATTGACCAAAGAAGGCTAAATTTGGTGAGTGTGTGTTGTGGTTGATAATGGAGGAAGATGTAACACACAAGAAACCCAGGAGAGATCATGACAGAGGATGAGGAGTCGCCCCACCTACCTGTCCTCGCTCTCAGGATCCGTATTGAAGGTCCCAACACCATCCCTCTTGCCCAAACGCTTCCCACACGGGGCGTGTCTGGGCCCCGCCCTGGCCTGACGTCAGCACACCGCCGCTACATAAGGGGCTGCGGCCAGTGTCCTCCACCACAAGCTGTACACCGCCTGTACCTCGCCAGTACCTCGCCGCCACCATCATGAAGTCTGTGAGTAACTCCTGACGTAGACATAAACGTACACGTTGGTGACGTTAAAACGTCTCGGCGTCACGTCTCTTAATGTTCAGGTTTAGTGTTGTCTTGATACGATTATTGTGACATAACGTTATGACTTGTGACTCACGCCAGCCTCTGGTCTCCATAGTTACCGTATATACTTGCGTTTTCCCCCAGCTGGTGATCCTGTGTGTTATGGCCGCCTGCGCCTCCGCCCAGGTGGTTGTGCCCGGTGCCGTGGCTTACCGAGCCCCGTCCTACGACTCCGCCATCATCCAGAGTCATCGCCTGGGCGGCAACTTCGCCTACTCCACCAACGAGGCCCACGCATACGCCGTGCAGACCCCCGTCATCGGCCAGCAAATTGTTCCCGTCGGCGTCACCTACACGCAAGGAACCCCCATCGTCAAGAGCTCCACCGGGTACATCACGCAACAGATACCCCATTACGGCTACACCTTTCCCCAGTTTGCTGGCTTTAGCAGCTACCCCTACCCCTATACCTTTGGCAGCCATGTAATTGCCGCTGCTGCACCCGCCGCACCCGCACCCGCAGCTGAGGCACCCGCAGCTGAGGCAGCCGCCGTGGAGGCCGCCTAAGGTGTCTTCCTCAGTCCAGAAACGTATCATGATTGAATCGCATCTCCACTTCCCTCCTCCTCCTCCTCCTCCTCCTCCTCCTTCCTCTCTCTCACTCTGCAACTAGTCGAACCACAGTCGCGTCTTGGCGTGGGCGCGACTTGGCGTGGGCGTTCCTTGTCGTAGACATTCCTTGGCGTGGGAGCATCTTGACGTAGGAGCGTCCTGGCGTTGGCGTATCTTGGCGTGGGCACGTCTTGGCGTGGGCGTTCCTTGTCGTAGACGTTCCTTGGCGTGGGAGCATCTTGACGTGGGCGCCTCTTGGCGAGGACGTACCCAGGTATGGTGGGGACAGTGACAGAGCCCAAGAGGGTTGGTCGCTGTACCTTGTACAGCTCCGGTGTACAGAATTGTGTTACAATAATCATAGGAAATAAAGCATTGTACAATATATGTTTTTTAGTACATCCTGCTGGCTGACCACTGCTAGGTCACCCCAGAGACCTCTGGAACTGGCTCACTCACCATGCACACCCACAGCTCCTCCCCTCACTCTCACAGAAACTCATACACATAACACACATACGAACCCAGCTTCGAGTCCCGGCCGAGCCAAAACAAATAGGCAGAGAGTAAGTCTGAACAACGTAACAAACAATAAGATACTCAACACACAAATCAAATCGGAAATTAAAAGAATTGACGAGGTTCCGGTCCGTCCTGGGGCCATTATCAACCACTGTTACCTTCTTACCATTATTACATTATCACATAATGGTTCACAGAGAAATCACATTATCGTGATGTATCAATTTCAAAATCCACAGGAGCCGTGATGAGGATTCGAACCTTTGCGATGGGTATTAGAGCGTGCATCTGGGAACACCCAGTACATAGGTTCGAATCCTGATCACGGCTCCTGTGGATTATCTTATATTAATGGTTGATAATAGTCCAAAACGGACTGGAACGTAATAAATTCTTTTATTTTCAGATTTGAGAGGTGAGTGTCTAAATGGGCAGAGTTTCTTTCACCTAATGTCTTTGTCCACCTAGCTGTTGAACAGGTACCTGGGCATTAGAGAGCTGTTGAACAGGTACCTGGGCATTAGAGAGCTGTTGCAGACTGCATCCTGGAGATGTATGTGTGTGTGTTTGGGTGTGAGAGAGAAATATATGTAGTAGATATGCTAGAGAACAATAGGTTGGGAGTCAGTACATTAAACAACCTTTCGTTAGAAAGGCAGGGTCCAAGAGCTAATAGCTCGATCCTTCAGGCATAAACAGTAGATACAAATGCATGCAGTAAAACACACATGCTCCGGCACACACAAATTGGCGGACACCAGAATAACCTTCAAGAACCCTGATAAGGAAGTATTCATAACGCTATTCGCACCACCTATGTGAAACTAGTTCTAGAGAATGCAGCCCGGCATGGATTTGAATGAGCGTAAAAATTTGAAAAAGTGAAAAAAATTTGCAATGATGAAGGTTCCAGATTTGCTTTGGAATGTGTACAATAAAAGGTTCAAGGAACCTGATCTTGCGACGACAAAAAAAAAAGATTTGAGGGAGGAGACATGATAAAGATATACAAAATATCTATGGGAAAATTACAGAGTTGAAAAGGATTATCTGTTTACAGTGAATAATAATTAACAGAATAATAAGACAATATGACAGCTAAAGTCCCATATGAGCCTTGAGGACCTAAAAAAAAATTGCATTAGAACAGTCGTGAAATTCAATGAATTAAATGAGAACATGTAAGATAATAACTCCATCCAAAATTAGACCACAGGGCCGGTCTGACCAGCCCTATGATCTGACCAGCCCTATGGTCTGACCAGCCCTATGGTCTGACCAGCCCTATGGTCTGACCAGCCCTGTGGTCTGACCAGCCCTATGGTCTGACCAGCACTATGGTCTGACCAGCCCTATGGTCTGACCAGCACTATGGTCTGACCAGCACTATGGTCTGACCAGCCCTATGGTCTGACCAGCACTATGGTCTGACCAGCCCTATGGTCTGACCAGCACTATGGTCTGACCAGCACTATGGTCTGACCAGCCCTATGGTCTGACCAGCACTATGGTCTGACCAGCACTATGGTCTGACCAGCCCTATGGTCTGACCAGCACTATGGTCTGACCAGCCCTATGGTCTGACCAGCACTATGGTCTGACCAGCACTATGGTCTGACCAGCCCTATGGTCTGACCAGCACTATGGTCTGACCAGCACTATGGTCTGACCAGCCCTATGGTCTGACCAGCCCTATGGTCTGACCAGCACTATGGTCTGACCAGCACTATGGTCTGACCAGCACTATGGTCTGACCAGCCCTATGGTCTGACCAGCCCTATGGTCTGACCAGCACTATGGTCTGACCAGCACTATGGTCTGACCAGCACTATGGTCTGACCAGCACTATGGTCTGACCAGCACTATGGTCTGACCAGCACTGCCCTGTGGTCTGACCAGCCCTATGGTCTGACCAGCCCTATGGTCTGACCAGCCCTATGGTCTGACCAGCCCTATGGTCTGACCAGCAGTATGGTCTGACCAGCACTATGGTCTGACCAGCACTGCCCTGTGGTCTGACCAGCCCTATGGTCTGACCAGCCCTATGGTCTGACCAGCACTATGGTCTGACCAGCACTGCCGTGTGGTCTGACCAGCCCTATGGTCTGACCAGCCCTATGGTCTGACCAGCACTATGGTCTGACCAGCACTATGGTCTGACCAGCACTGCCCTGTGGTCTGACCAGCCCTATGGTCTGACCAGCCCTATGGTCTGACCAGCACTATGGTCTGACCAGCACTGCCATGTGGTCTGACCAGCCCTATGGTCTGACCAGCCCTATGGTCTGACCAGCCCTATGGTCTGACCAGCACTATCGTCTGACCAGCACTGCCCTGTGGTCTGACCAGCCCTATGGTCTGACCAGCCCTATGGTCTGACCAGCCCTATGGTCTGACCAGCACTGCCCTGTGGTCTGACCAGCCCTATGGTCTGACCAGCCCTATGGTCTGACCAGCACTATGGTCTGACCAGCACTGCCCTGTGGTCTGACCAGCCCTGTGGTCTGACCAGCCCTGTGGTCTGACCAGCACTATGGTCTGACCAGCCCTATGGTCTGACCAGCCCTATGGTCTGACCAGCCCTATGGTCTGACCAGCCCTATGGTCTGACCAGTCCAGTGGTCTGACCAGCCCTATGGTCTGACCAGCCCTATGGTCTGACCAGCACTATGGTCTGACCAGCCCTATGGTCTGACCAGCCCTATGGTCTGACCAGCCTTATGGTCTGACCAGCACTATGGTCTGACCAGCACTATGGTCTGACCAGCCCTATGGTCTGACCAGCACTATGGTCTGACCAGCCCTATGGTCTGACCAGCACTATGGTCTGACCAGCACTATGGTCTGACCAGCACTATGGTCTGACCAGCACTGCCCTGTGGTCTGACCAGCCCTATGGTCTGACCAGCCCTATGGTCTGACCAGCACTATGGTCTGACCAGCACTGCCCTGTGGTCTGACCAGCCCTATGGTCTGACCAGCCCTATGGTCTGACCAGCACTATGGTTTGACCAGCCCTATGGTCTGACCAGTCCAGTGGTCTGACCAGCCCTATGGTCTGACCAGCCCTATGGTCTGACCAGCACTATGGTCTGACCAGCATTGCCGTGTGGTCTGACCAGCCCTATGGTCTGACCAGCCCTATGGTCTGACCAGCCCTATGGTCTGACCAGCACTATGGTCTGACCAGCACTGCCCTGTGGTCTGACCAGCCCTGTGGTCTGACCAGCCCTATGGTCTGACCAGCCCTATGGTCTGACCAGCACTATGGTCTGACCAGCACTGCCATGTGGTCTGACCAGCCCTATGGTCTGACCAGCCCTATGGTCTGACCAGCACTATCGTCTGACCAGCACTGCCCTGTGGTCTGACCAGCCCTATGGTCTGACCAGCACTGCCCTGTGGTCTGACCAGCCCTATGGTCTGACCAGCCCTATGGTCTGACCAGCACTATGGTCTGACCAGCACTGCCCTGTGGTCTGACCAGCCCTGTGGTCTGACCAGCCCTGTGGTCTGACCAGCCCTGTGGTCTGACCAGCACTATGGTCTGACCAGCCCTATGGTCTGACCAGCCCTATGGTCTGACCAGCCCTATGGTCTGACCAGCCCTATGGTCTGACCAGTCCAGTGGTCTGACCAGCCCTATGGTCTGACCAGCCCTATGGTCTGACCAGCACTATGGTTTGACCAGCCCTATGGTCTGACCAGCCCTATGGTCTGACCAGCCTTATGGTCTGACCAGCACTATGGTCTGACCAGCACTATGGTCTGACCAGCCCTATGGTCTGACCAGCCCTGTGGTCTGACCAGCCCAGTGGTCTGACCAGCCCTGTGGTCTGACCAGCCCTATGGTCTGACCAGCCCTGTGGTCTGACCAGCCCAGTGGTCTGACCAGCCCTGTGGTCTGACCAGCCCTATGGTCTGACCAGCACTATGGTCTGACCAGCCCTATGGTCTGACCAGCCCTATGGTCTGACCAGCCCTGTGGTCTGACCAGTCCAGTGGTCTGACCAGCCCTGTGGTCTGACCAGCCCTATGGTCTGACCAGCCCTATGGTCTGACCAGCCCTGCCCCAGTGGTCTGACCAGCCCTGTGGTCTGACCAGCCCTATGGTCTTTGATTGGATCGGCACGTAAACGGACCCCATCCCCCACACCTCCAGTATAAGCTATTGATGCTGATAATGGCTCCAAAGAGCAACTCACCATAGCCCGTGCAACATGGAAATTTTGTTTCAGTAACTAAATCTAAAACAACAACAACAACAGCGAGTTACTGTGAGGGGGGAAGGGACATCAAAGTGGCGAGATGTCTCATGCGGAGTCCCACAGGGCTCTGTACTTGGACACATCTTGTTTCTGATATATGTAAACGGTTTTCCAGATGATTTTTTTCCAGAGACTCATTCCTCTCAATATTTGCTGATGATGCAAAAATTATTAGCAGGATCAAACAGATGAAGTCAGACAGAGACTACAGGACGATCTGGACAAACTGGAGGAATTGTCTAGAAAATGGCTACTAAAATTTAACTCAGGAAAGTGTAAAATACTGAAATTAGGTGAAGGGAGCAGGCGGCCGAACACAAGGTACCATCTGGGAGGTGAAATCCTGCAAGAGTCAAATAGAGAGAAAGATCTTGTGGTTGGCATCACACCGAACCTTTTCCCAGAAGACTATATCAAAATAATCTCATCAGCGGCATATGCTAGATTGACCAACATAAGATGTGCCTTTAGAAACTTGTGTAATGAATAATTTATAACTTTATATACCATTCATGTCAGACCAATCCTGGAGTATGCAGCTCCATCGAGGAGTTCATACCTAGTTAAACACAAGACAAATTTAGAGAAGATTCAG